AGCGATGGCCTCCAACCTAGTAGCAATGGCCTCCGACCTAAGAGCGATGGCCTCCAACCTAAGAGCGATGGCCTCCAACCTAGTATCAATGGCCTCCAACCTATAGTACGTATAGTATCAATGGCCTCCAACCTAAGTGCGATGGCCTCCAACCTAGTAGCGATGGCCTCCAGCCCAGTAGTGATGGCCTCCAAGATCCTAAGCTCCTGTGATCAACATAGCTGGGACGACCCTGAGAGTCATGACTTATGGACTCATGAAGTCAACTCCGGCCTGGTGGAAAACATGACTCCCAGTTGGGCTGCCCATTACCAGTAACAGTCGGTAAAAGATCATCACTACTTTGCAGAAGTCTGCCTGCAACGTTACTGCTAATGGGATTAAGTATTTATAATAGAAGATTGGCTATTAGGCGGGAGGCCATCGCTCTTAGGTTGGAGGCCATCGCTATTACTGTATTGGTACCAAATTGACCCCCTGTGAATCGTGCTATGATTCCCAATTGGAACATCGTTGGTGCACCGGCGCCCAAACGGGGCAGGCTGGGCCCTAACGGGCATGCGCCACGAGCCCAGATCGGGCACGAAAAAAACACCAGCTCATCGTCAGGACAGATCATGTCGCCAGACACTCCGTGGGACTGCCATATTTTCCGATCAGTTGGGGTGGTTTTGGGGGGTCAATGGGGCAGCATGTATGGCAGTCCCATGGAGTGTTTGGGTATGATTGTGAACCAGGAGTCACATGTCGCTCAGGGTGCCGGTTCACCCGAACGGAGGAAGGAAGGAGGTCGTCGGTGCCCCGAACGTCACGTCACATCCGCGGCCGGAGGGGACGAGCAAAACCCAACTCCATGTGACTCTGTGAACTGTACCCTTCCTTTCCGGCGACAGGTGCTCCGTTCACAACCGTTCAGGCCAAATTGGTTCAAATCAGGGTGTGCTTGACAGCCTGATTTGGTCGACATGGGGCCCAGATGAGGTGTGAAGACACAAGTCGTCAGAAGGTTTGAAGACCTTGTGTTCGAAACGAAACTGTATAGACTGTATACCCAGACGCTCATGGGCTCTCATATGGAAGGGTCGGACCCTCATATGGAGGGGTCTGGGGTCTCAAATCCCTAGGTTTTGAGGGACCAAGGGCTGTTTGGAGCGTCTGGGTAGACATGAATTAGATGAGTCGATGTAATTAAATCCTTGGCCCCCCAACAAAACCTATCCACTCTTGAGTTCCACGGAACAGATGAAGAGTTCCTTCCCTGGCGTCAGACCAAGCTGGGTGAGTGCTGCTGAGTTCAGCTGTCCACGAAAAAGCTGGACAACGACGACCTCGCCAAGCTTCAGCCAAGCGCCGATGCTGAGAATACGATGCTTCCACCGGATAGGGCGCCGTCTCGTGTCCGCGGAGTCAGTCTGACAGGTGGTCGGCGGAGACCTGTCAGGTCCGAACAAGATCACGACACGCCTTTCGCAGGAACGACCCATGAGTGTAAAGCATATAGGGTTTTTGGGTGTCCCACTTCCATCTTTCGTAAGTTGGAGGGTCGTATACCGTATAATGACCCACGACCTCGTTGGCGGCAAAGACATCGACGTTAACGGGGAAATACTGATCGTGCGTACGATATCAAGTGCCTTGTCCTCCATGGGACTGGCAAATAGTCATGGTTGACCCGCGGTGAGTGATAGGCAAATACCCGGGTTTTCCCAGTCCCGACCAAAAAACATACATGGTGGTTTAATGTATGGCCACTGAGCGGCCACTGAGATCCTTCACAAGGGTTTATTGGCCCTGTCATCCTAGCTGGAGTCTCTGTCCGGCACGTCTCTGCACCACTCACCTTCCTTCCGCAGACTTCATATCTTCAGGTGCGAAGAAGTCATATCTTCAGCCCCAGATGCACGGCCACCGAGTTGGGATGGGATGCTAAGGCAAACGAAACCAGACAGGACCTGTCTGGGACTGCCATAGCCCTGGCCGTTTTGAAGGCAGTCCGGACTGACAGTCCCGTGGAGTGTTCCCTTCAGTTCAGTTCAGAAATCTTGCACCCTTGGAAGATCTAGGTATGCCGCCGGTATGCCAGATTTCCTGAAGACTTCGTGACCTTCTGAGGAGTTCCCATGACATCCTTCGTGTCCCATGACCCTTTCGATCTGTGACGAAGTCGTTGGGAAAAACGCATTCGGTCCTTCGGACGTTGAAGAGATCGAAGAGACCTCTGGGGATTGGGCCGCCCGGATGGCTGCGCCCCAGCCATTGCCGACTCAGGGTCCGACTCGTTGGGGCTCCTTCGACCGAGCGCTCTCGGGTGTCAAAGGATGGTTAGTCCGCTCAGGCCCACGCCACTGCCTGGAGTACCGGAGGAGTGCCTGGAGTGAAGAGTTGAAAGACCGTGAGCGATGGCCTCCAACCTACTTGCAATGGCCACCATCCCACTAGGGATGGCCAACCCAGAAGGGATGGCCTTCAACGGAAACGTTGAAAGACCTGAATTTGACCGTGAAACACGGTGAAGCTTTGCCAACCGAACAAGGGGGTTTAGCCCAACTAAGTGGCCTGCCAACCGGTGAATTGCCTCAGGTAAATGTTCTCCACATCTCAACAAGAGATTTCCTCACCTTCAGACTGGTCGACAGAAGTGGGGACAAAATCTCCGGCGGCTTCGCTCTTCGCTGATATCGCGGGGCAGGAAGTGACGTGCTCCCATTGCGGTGCCGGCTTCCTGAACGATCTCCACTTTTGTCGGAAATGTGGACACCCGCGAGCTGCACAGGCGCTGGAGGGTGTTGTGCGGTGAAGGGCTGGGTGGATCGGCCAAGAGGATGTACCCTTGGAGTGAAGCCGAGTGAAAGAGAGGTGGAAAGGGGTGACACCTTTGGCATGATGAAGTGAATGACATTCATGAAGGCTGCAGCAGGCTTCTTTGATGGTAATTAAGCTTGAAATTTTGGGGGAGTTCACCACATGTTCCCCACAAAAATCACTTGATCCACCACTTTGAGACCGTTTTGCCCCGGACGGTTTTGCCCCGGCATAGCGTTTCTCTCGCGCCTACCTTTGGTCGCGCGGAGGCGGCTTTAGTCTCTGTCGGGCACACAGCAGACATTGACATTGAGACGTACAGCCGATTGGTACTTGTACAAGGCTTCCAAGACAGAAAAAGGAAGCACCATCAGAGAGGTGTTTGGAAGGAACGCATGTGGATTGGCAGACGGAAGTTCAGTTCAGTCGTGGTGGGTTGTTTTAGGACATGACTCGTTTTCCGCAAAAAGGAACAGACCTGCTCCGAGCCCTGCCAACGCTTTGAGGCCCCTAGGTTCCGTAGCGATTACCAGAGGAGACCATGGAGGGGCTGGGCGGATGTGGGCGGGTGACTGCTGGCCTTCAGTGATTTCAGCAGGGAAGACCTGTTTCTCTCTACAAACAAAAACAAGTAATTAGTGACTTCATCGGATGTTTTTGTCCACTTCCATTGTTTTATGACCTCGGAGAATTAGAGAAAGCCCTCAACTCTTTGGATCACGACTTCACGGACCGGACGGTTCCGGACCCGGAAACCGATTTGGGGCCTGAAAAGCAGGGTGGAAAAAGAATCGAAGAAAGACAAAGGAATGATCTTCATCGAACTTCTTTCATCCGAACTTCATAACATGCAATTGGTGGGGAGCTATGCACAAAGACAATTTGTGGAGGTGGAGGTTTGGTCTTTCTGACTGTGCCAATTTTGTTTGGGGGAGGTCTTCCAACGAGGAGCTTGACGGAAAAAGACTTGGGCTAAAACGACGTGGCCCCAGGAGAGGTCTGGCGATGGGCTCAGCTTCAGCCCAGGCGTGAACACTGCGGGAAAAAGCGGCGAGCGGCGTTTCAATGGGAGTGAGGAAGCTATCAACTAAAGTGAAACACAAGTAAAGCAGTTCCCTTGAAGGATTCCCCCACCATCTACCCTGCCACTCCCCTTTCCAAAAAAAACTTACACATCTTTTACGCATCTTATAGACCCCAGGGCATCCAGTTACCACTATAGCTGGTAACCAGTTGGTTCCAAAGACTAAAGCCATAGACCTAGAATCCCTGGTTCCTTATATAGTGGCAACTGGGATGCACTTGGGACAGTATCTTACATCACACCTCTGCGCCTCCCGTGTTTTCTTCTAAGAACCCCATTTCGCCTCCTAATCTCGTTGGACCTCGAGGCGCCCACCATTCCCAACGCGCCCCCACGCCTCATCGCCGGAAGCTCAGCGGGCCGAGTTCGACTCGACCGAGTTAGAGCGAAATGGTCCGGGTGCTGAGGCGCGATTGCAGGAACTGGAGCTGGAAAGTTTGTGGGGTGCCTCAGGTTCTGAACTGGTTTGATTGTTTGTTTGTTGTTATTTGTGTGTTTCTTTTAAGATCTATTTTGTTTGTTTCTATCAGTGACCATGTATGAACAGTGCTAAAACGGCTTGGATGCATCTTCTGTCTTCTCGGCGTTTTTGGTTTGACAGAAAAAACGTCCGAGGTTAGCGCTTTGTGAGCGCTTGGAAGGGCGTTTAGTCTTGCCGAAGAAGGCGAGAGCCATGGTGAAAGCCAGCGATCAGGACCCCGGCCCCAGACCATGATCCGTGTGTACAGATCCTGTTTGCAACATTAGTTTAAGAGGCTTGAATCAGAAGCATCATTGTTGTGTTACTAAGGATTTGCACTACAGAACAGGTGAGCCATTCTCTTAAGTACGATCTATTGTGGTGTCACTGAGGACTTGCCGATTTGTGGGTTTGTTTTGTGTTTTTTTGGATATGCAGCCTTGCTGAACATCTTCAGGAGCTGGACGCTCTATGTGAGTCTTTGTCAGGCAGTCGAATTCAATGAGTTTGTGACGAAGGGGTGGGAAAGGTGAAGGACAAACTGATACACCCTAGGGCTCCAAGTACCTTCTGAGAAGGTGTTTGGGGTGGGTTTGGAGGGTCCAAACACCTTCTGAGGAGGTACTGGAACCCGAGGGACAGTATGTTTTGGATATGCCAGGGGCGCTGTGGGTTCGTCATTCATTGTTTTTGTTACCCACTGGGTAAGTCAGGGCCTCTGAGCCGATGAGGGAAAGAGGCTCTCAAGGGAGATGTTTATGTCGACACCTCTTGCAAGCGATCCAAGCAGGGTCCAGATGCGAAGCAACGGAGCAACTGCCGTTGTGCCCTCTATCGACTTGTGGATCGAAGCAGATCAGACTCATAACTGACTAGTTACCTCGTTACCTGGACTGCTGACTCCTCCCCTGGTCCGCAAAAACTGCCAGATGGCAAGCCATTGACTCCTCGGCAGCAGCATCATCAACAGCAGTCAGGAGCTTACATGAGAGGATTGTCAGGTCTCCCCGTCGGCCTAATGCACCTGCATAGGGCATCTAACAAGGGCATTACTACTAGTAGCAAGAAGCTACCAGTAACAATTCTTCAAACTTTCATTCATGTCTTCAACAGTGTTTCTTAACACCCTGAAGGCGTGATAAATAGAGCCTGGTTCTTCAAAGTGACCTTTTGATAACCTGGTTTGAGGTCACTGAAGCCTCCTAAGGGTCACGAAAAGGATTCTTCAAAATGGAGGCGTTCTTGCCTTTTTTGTTGCCTCTCAGATTGCTGCCAGTCTCTGGTCCAAATGGGTCAGGGGCGATGAACAAATGACAATGAGCTTGTCCGCCTTTGGTCGCAGTCTCAGGCTTCAATACTTGCACCACTTGCGTGAAGCTCGGTGCTGCTGGCATATCCCTTGACCGGGGTCCATGCCATCGGCAATCAAAGTTCGTCTGTCACGATGGCACTACTGTGATGCTGTTTTGGAGAGGGCCGATCATCGGTGGATTCGGATGGAGAGAACTTGGTGATCGTCGGTGATCGGAACACAGCTGAACGTCGAAGAAGAATCTGTCAAGCTGGGCCATTTGATGAACTCTCCACGAGTTCTGGAGGCTTGGTTGATTCTATAGGATCACATTAGCCATGTTCCAGCTTCTTTTGCGCGGCTTTTTCCGGCTCGTCAGCTGAATAGAAGAAAGAGCAGAAGTTGCTGAGATGTGTCAGAGAAGAACTGACTGACACAAGAACTCTCTGACATTGATGTGCCAGTGTAGCTGCTAAGGGCGCCGTATGGGTTGGTCTTTTTCCGCGATTGCTAAACCAATTGGATCATTTCACTTTGGACTCGAAGCAATGAGGATGATCCGCCCCCATTTGACTGAGAAGATAGATGACACTTTGCTGTCCAGTAAAACTGGACTGAGAAACTCAGGCCAAAATTTGTTCTATAGCTCTTCACCGAACTTCACACCCAATATATGTTTGAGGTTTCCTCCGCTTCATTTCAACTTCTCCCGGGACTGGACACTGTCAGAAAAAACACCCAGCAAGTCGCCGCGTTGGTTCTTCCCGCGATCGATCGCGATCGGTTCCGCGCCATGTGATGCAGTGGCTCTTGGGTGCGGCGCAAGCGGTCAAGGAGAAGGTGCCACAGAAGCCCATCCTCCAAGTGGCTGGCCGCAGGTGCCTAACCACCCACGCCCGTGGGTGGGTGGTTTGGTGATTTTTGCTGTGTGCCACGTGGGGTGTTGGAATATGTTGGGATATGTTGGGTGACATCAGCTTCCTCCTCCATGGTTATCTGATCTTCTCAGTAAACGTCATGACTAGTTTCACTATCTATCTTTCACTGGATTCCTGCTCCTACCACCCACTTGCAGGCTTGGATAGATAGAGGTCCCCACATAGCCAGAAACACATGTCACATGTCTTAGGGAGAAATCACTTTTCTATCTATGTCTCCCCCCGCCGGCCTTCGTTTCGATTCACGAAGGTCGTTGGAGTCCATTGTTGCCCGGGCCATCTACGGCCCTAGTCCTTTTACACGGCCCTAGTGATCCCCAAATAGAGATATCCATTTTGGGGTCTATCTTCACATGGAATTTTGACCTCTGAATTTCTCCGCAGACGATGGCAGGATCCAACAGCAGAAGTTGTTGGCAGACGGTGGCTTTGCCTACGTCTACTCTGGCCTCGATGCCGACAGCGGGGACTGCGATCCGAACACGACAAACGACGACCGAACCGCCCCCGGCCAAGCAGACCAAAAAGGCGTTGGAACTGAGCTTCGTTTCTTCAAGACCACAAAGCATTTAGTCATCAGATGTGTGTTTGGATGCTGAGTGCTATATTGATTTTTGGGGGCTGATTCAAGTGATTTGGACATGTGTTTTTTTTTGCGGTATTTCATTCTAATTCTTCGGGGCCACTTGGGATCAGAGACACGTGTTTTTTTCTGCCACCGGCTTCGTTGTTCCAGTTCTTCAGACACATTTGGTGCTTGGTGGTGCAGACCAGACAGTGCATGACACAACATACTCATCCACGCTCGCGGAATAGCATCAGATATCTAATCCAAAGGCCCATGCTCGGGCGGCAAAGAACACCATGCAAAAATTGCTCCTGAGACATATATACGTTTCAATGTAGCCTGAGAAGCATACGAGTCTGTCGTTTCGACTTTGTCGACGTCAAGAAGATGTCGATTTGGGGTGGTTTCTTCAGACACACCTGGACCACGTGAATTTTGCTCAGGCATGGTCATAGCTGAAGTGTTCAGACTATAAACCACTCTTTGATAGCAAGAATGCACCTTTCAACAGTTGCCAGATTGGACCACATTATGAGGAAATTTAACCCACACGCTGAAGAAGCCAGTTGTGCAGTTCCAATCTTTGACCGCCATGCGGTATCCTGGTATGTTGCGTTGTTCGATGCTTCACTGATGAAGAGATGTATGGTCTTGGATTGGACGGCGTTAACACGTGTTGCCTATCCCAGTGCAATTGGCCATGGTTCCGAGTGCCATTGGCCATTGGGTGATGCTGTCAGAACTAAGTCCCATGCTATCAATCAATAAGCAAACCATACCGGGATGGGCATCCTTGCGGCCGTTCGCCACATGCTGCCAACGTCGCAGGTATGACCCGCATATCCCAAAAACGTCTACGATCGATCGTCTACGGGATGTGAATGGTTTGGGGCCTGACTAAGCGTATAGTATCGTGGATTATCGTGGTGATATCTTCACAGATCCGGACGGTGTGGGGGGGGGTAGGACGCTTATCTAGGCCGCAGGACCACTGGGCAGGCGGGTGCACGTGTGCTCTCACCGATGGATGTTCCGTCCTCCAGGAACGGCTGGCGATTCGGCGAGTGCTGCTGCAGGACCCGGAGGCACTGGAAAAAGCCAAGGCCGGACCTGCCCCCCCAGCAGATGCCCTTTTCGCTGGCCAGTTGTTGCTTAGTTCTTCTCCGACGGTGGGTGTCGGAGAACTCCACGTGTTCCCGCTAGCTGCGCATGTTGGCTTTATGCTTTAAACTTTTAAACCTCAAATGTTGCGCTATGTGCGACTAACCTCGGCAGTTTGTGAGGTGGAGATCGATCTCTTGGGCAGTTTGTGCGACCATCCGCACATTGTTCACTTCCAGGGCGCCCAGATCTTCCGAGGCCCGATCTGATGAACAGCACGTGGGCTGTTGACGCCTGATTCATCGTGAGTCGGGGTGAGACGTGTTCGGCCTAGGGGATCTCAAAACTGAAGACGCCGATTCATCGTTCTTTTCACTTCAAAAAATGAAACAGCCTGTTGATGGACATATTTCCCATGGTTAGTTTTCGACGGTTTAACTTGTCCGAATGTATAAGTTTGGACTGCACGCTATCCGTTACACTCTCCGATGGTGTGTTGGTTTGTTCCTCCACGGAGTCCAACACAGGTTCGGGCGCATCGGCTGAAGCCATCTACATCTTCGTGACTTGTCCGAAAAAGGTCCTGTCACAGTTGCCGACTTGGCCTTGAACAATTTCAGGGATGTATACAAACCTAGGGATCCAAGTACCTTTTTGTTCAGAAGGTACTTGGACCCTCCAAACCTGCATAACAGGGTCTCCATGGGTCTCCAATCACCGTACCTGAGAAGGTACTTGGATCCCTGAGGAAAATGAAACAAACATAGACATGTTCTTCTTGGTTTTATATTGCCATAGACATGTTCTTCTTGGTTTTATATTGCTACAAGGTTTTGACAGTGGTTTTGATACGAACATGTTGGGCACCAATGCTCTTGGGAGAACCATGCCCATGTTGCCTAAATTGGGTTTCCGTTTTGAAGGACCATCCCTTTCATTTTCGGGTAGTTCAGGAAATCCATTGTGTTATGTCATGTTTGCTGGTTTTCATGCACTCTTCATGCACCAAGACGGTTTGTTTATGGATTTTTCACCTGGGAGTGACCGCCCAGCTGCCTCAGGAGCTTTGTCCCGGTGGCACACTCCTGTCCCACCTGGAAGCGGCGATGGAAGCGGGAGGGAAGAGAGACGCACGGACCACGCCGTGCCTTTGGCTGAGCGTTGGTTCCATATTTGTTCGAGATGTTTCGGTACGTAGCCGTGCATGATCGAAGATTCAACTATACATTCGAATACGGAGTCCCAGAGACATGCCTGGAAGAGTACGTATACATATGGACTTTTTTATTGGGGGGGGGGCCGGTGGTCCCTATGTTTCCCGATGTTTGTTCGTTCGATTGGACGTCTTCGGATCATCCATTGAGCCGCTTGATTTGGTGCTGAGGTTCATGGCAGCATGCATCCTTTTTTCCTCTAAGCCAGATCCTGAAATCCGACGTCCGATGAGTATTGGGATGTATTGAGTATGGTTTTTGATCTATATCTTTGGACATTCAATGAATTGTTCTACTGGATGAATTTGACCGTTCAATATCTTTCATCCATCAGTCTTACTGGTGATATCACTTTGTTTGCCAGAGATTTGCCGTAACAGAACGTGTCTTTTTGTAACAGAAACGTTGCAGGACGATGCCGTGTGTTGCCAGATGTCACGTTGTTGCCGCTGTTGTTCAGGTACTGCTGTCCTTGTCTTGAAGAACAAGACATCCTCGCGGTGCTAGGAGCTGCGACCTGGGAGACTGAACTGAACTGAACCCCCTTGGCGCTTGATCCCGGCACGGTGCACGCTGCGCTTCCACGCTCATGTCGACACGCTATGTCGACACTCAGAGGAGTCTGTTCTTTCAAGCGTTCCACCTGTCCAAGACGTTGCAAGAAGTTTCTGATATCAGTCTTGGGCCCAGTCTTACTTCTCTGCAAAAACGGTATCAACCAATGAGGGCAACAGCTCCACCAGGCCCAACTCTCCGGCCTGGCCAGCCGCCCCTGGACAAAGCATCGAGCGGTCGATCAGGAGCAACTGCACAGGCTCTGGTGTACTTGACGCGTTTGGGCATGATCCATTACGATGTGAAGAGCCCCTCGTCTTCGTGACGGAGACAGGTCGGTTCCGACAAAGGCTCACGAGAGTGGCGCCAAGTGAAAACAAAGCAGAAGTGGTTTAACAAGTGAACACAATCCGATTGAATCTATTTAAGTCAGAAGTGGATTTAATATGATTTAACTAATCAGAAGCAGATTTCATGTATACTATAGACGATTGATACAACCTTTTGATTTGGAATTGCGCGAAGCATCTTCAATCATCGTCAGATGTTGGGGCTTAATTAGCAAATATGTCAATCATGTTTACAAGTGGTTTCACCGCCCTCTCATTTAGCAAATATTCAACTCTGCGATTTGGCAACTTTTTCCACCAGAAAACCATTGATGAAGAGATGTTGCATCATCCCAATCCTATCCAATATTGATAACCCCTCAGCATGGCTCCGACACCTCTTCAGGAAGTTTCACGCAAAAACGCGAGTTATACGCATGTGCACTCATTGTCACATTGTCCTAAATTGAGAGGTTTGGACTGCAATGCCTTCACGGACCAATATCTTGGTGTAATGGTGCCCGAACCCAGTCCAAGACGGCTCACCAAGACCTCTCTTCAGGCGAGAATCTGCTGTTGGGCAACGACGGCCTTTGGAAGTTGGGCGACTTCGGCTCGGCCAGCGAGAGGACCTTCGACCTGACCAACGCCGACAAGAAGGAGACTCGACTCAAGTGCTGGGGTTTGCTGAAGGGTGCTGAGCATCGATGCTTTTTTTCTTTTTGGGGGATTGGCTTTTGTTGTGCCGTCATTTGGTTTTTGGTTGTTTGGGGGGCTTGGCAGCCAGATCACTAAAGAGACTGAAAGAGAACATGATTTTGTCTTATGTTCTTTTGAGCCACATCCAATGACTTTCAACCGCCACATTGAGCGTTCCTACCAGCACCCTCACTGCCATGTCACCTGCCACTTCAAGCCTCCATTTCAGCCACCAGAAAATAGAGACCAAGTAGTTCGAGTCGGGGGGTGTGTCATCCTTCGAATTCAGTCCGGACCGACTCCAGGTCCGCCTCTCAACCGGGTGAGACCCGACCTTTTGAGGCACTTTGGGAAGCACAGGAGTTTATCCATGGGCGGTGCACGCCCATGTTTCGCAACTTGGTTTAATGTATATGGAGATTTCAAGTCAGCTGAAACTGGTGAAATAGTATACTGATTCTCCTATAGGCTTCCTGTCCCACCATGAATTTAATGGTTTATACCGAACCACCATTGTTCTTTCCTATAGTATAGGGATTTTGCACTACAACAGCCCACCCAAACACTTACAGCCACGGTTTTCTTCATGGTATCAGCCTGATCAGAAAGAAGACTGTCGATAGGGACAAGTAGTTCTGCCAAAAGTATCATGCCAAATCAACCTCTAAAGCAAGTCCCTTTTTCCACCCCAAAATCCAAGACCTTCCACGTCTCGCCACACCTCCCAACGAACCGCGTCTCGTCTCCGAACGAACCGCGTTTCGCGCGTTGCGACCGCGCGTCGAGCGAGCGCCGTCGAGGCGCACCGGAGATCGCGGACGTGTATCTCCGATGGAAGATCGGCCCCAAGGTGGACCTCTTCGCCCTAGGCGGGAGCGGCGTGGAGGTCGCGTGGAGGTCGCGTGGTCTTCATGGTTCAAGACCATGGGTCAAGCTTGTATAGCAATCTGGATGAATCACCCAAACCCCAGCAGGATCGAATGTCCTTGGACCTCAGTCCTTGCTCAGTCCACTTCGGAACCCCCCAAAAGGTGCCTCGCAGAGGCCACACCGGGCGGCCTTCGGGGGCCCACCGCTTCACGGTTCGCGACGCGCTTCGTGACGCGGTTCGCGAGCGGCACGCGGTTCACGCGGTTGAGGCTGCATTCTCTTCGCGATGATGACAGGAGACGTTGGGGTTTGGGGGTGAAACAGTGATGTCCGCTCTGATGTTGGTCATGACGTGTGAGGCGGCAGGAATCCATGAACTGTTCTTTGTACATGCAGCGAATGAGGTAGCTTTACACACAGTTGTATAGGCGTATGTTTTGGCGTATGTTTAGCTCCATGTTTTGAGATCTTGATTCTTTGGAAGGTCTTGCACCTACGCTCGAGCTAGTGCTATTTTTGCATTTTATCTCCTGGCAACTCCAGACTCCAACGCTTCACTGGCCTGGACAGCATCTGAGGACAGCATCCCTTTCCCATGGAGTCCACCTGCGGGAACATCACGGCGAGTTATCGGCTGCCGCCCGAGGCCAAGGAACACTACTCCTCCGCGGTGCTGCCGCTCGGAGGTCCAGACTGAGAGAGAAGGCTGAGTGTGGTGCGCGGGACCAGTGGTACAGTGCCAACCAATGCGAGCAACAAACGGACTGTATACAGTACAGGGTCACAGGGTTTGCCATTCTTTCTGTTGAGTCTCATGTTTGGAGGGGTCCTTGGTACAACGCTTAATTTGTGTTGCTTGTCTTCCCTTGCTTGCAGTTCTGTTTCCTTTGGTTCCCGCCGGCATAGCTGTGTAGCTGTTGCTCCTCAGAACGACCTGGGTCCAGGCCACAACATCTCAGGCCAGTCCAAAGACCCGGAACACCGAACATCCCACGAGTCACCAACCTCAGTAATTAGTAGTCTTTTTCTTTGATCGTAAAATGAGGTCAAACTGACCAACACCCCCCCAAAAAAAATCCAGACACTTCACGGCAGTATCTCCAATGATATCCAAGAACAGCCAGTCAATCATTATGCCAGTCAGTATGTCATCATGTCGACCTCGCCGAGGACGTGGCTCCGGGGCCTCCTGGCGCGGTCGCCGGCGGAGCGGCCCACGGCGGTGCGGCTGTCCAGCGAGGTGGAGCGCTTTCGACTCTTGGGGGAGGACCGTGGGATGCGGAGGCGGCGCAGAGAGTGGGGTCAAAGACGGTTTGGGACCAAAAATGTGCTATAGATGTGTAATTGCGGTTGTGGGAGGTTTAGTTTTTACCATGTTTAGTGTGTCTTCATCGCTTCGCTGCGCCGTCGACGGATCTGCAGACATAAAAAGCTTCGTCTTGGGCAGCCCTTCTAGCTTTCAGAGCTTCCACTCTCCGATCTTCGTCCACCGGTGCACCCTCGCAGCATGGCTCGGCGAGTTCTGGTTGCTGCCCAGAAGCCGTTGACATCCCAGCTGGGTCTTCGCGGTCCTCCACTCGCTCTCCCCGTGCGGCGGTTTTGCGTGATGTCCGAGCTCGTTGCGGCCAAGCGGCTCTTTGGATCGTTGGCCAAGACATTAGGTCTACAGACTAAAGAGCTGGAAGCCATTGGTGAGGTCAAGATCGAGTTGCCGGGCCACTCTTCTGGAAGCCTTCTCAACATGATTCCTCGGAGACGTACCTGCAGAGTATTCCACAAATCAAAAGCAAGTATCGCACGGCGGAAATGGAAGGGGAATTCGATTTGGACCGTGAAGTGGTCAAAGTAGTGAACGCAGACAATTTCAGGAAGTATCTCGACATTCCTCAGAATCAGCGCGGTCCTTTGCGTGTGCGAATGCCAGAGAACGAAGATGGCATGCTGGGGAAAGCATTCAAGAAGTTCAATCACTTCACCACTCACACCACCGAGGAAGCTTCAGAACGTTTGAGGAAGTGGTGCAAAAACCGGTTTGTCAAATCTACGGCCAGCGATGGTGAAGTTGAAAAAGAAATGGTGAAATTGCAGGAAGAAGGCGTGGACCTCAAGACTGACCACTCTGAGGGCCATGGGAGTATCATGGAATACAATGGGGTTAAAGAAGAACACCTAGATGACGTGATCAAGACCTTAGAGGAAGACAATGTTCCAACCAAAGTCATCAGTGCCTTGAAGAGGGCAAAGGCTATGAAAAAGAATACTGAGGGAATATGTGACTACAGGCTGAACAATGGATTGCTGGAACATCTCTATGTTATGCAGATCCTGACTTTGCGCAAGCAGAACAAAGAATTTGACATCCTCATTGCCTTCTTCGAGCTGAAGCTCGGCAAGCCGCTGCCCATGGGTGGGGCTGCGCAAGTCCAAGATGGTGTGGTTGAAAGCAGGAAGATACAAGATGGTGAATCCATGATGGGGCTATCCATCTCACAGATGCAACGTTTGTGCAGCTATGTGGAAGCAAGGGCAGCCAACCATTGGAAGAAGAAGTCGCAGGACTTGCTCCAGGCTGAGGCAGCCGACGACATCGACGAGTGAACCTGAAGGTTGCCGTTGAAGGTTTGTGTTCGGCCAGTTTTGATTGGAGCAGCTGGGTGGCAGTCACATGTTCAGCCAGACAGGTACTAGAAATATAGCACGTACCAGGATCATCCAATGGGTATCCAATAGACTACCCTACCCTACTTACAGGTCTCCATTGGGCACCCGTTGGAAGTGCTAGGTATAATAGAGCCTTTTTTATCCATTTTTTCCCATATTCTAAACTCTCCAAGCTCCACCCAACGCCCCGCGCGAGCTCATGGCAGTTCGGTATGTGCTGTGGTACGGCCTCGGCTGCTTCGAGCTTTGCACGAGAAGGATCCACATTGCATCTTCCATCGGAGTTTCCCGAAATCCATCGAGAAAGACTTGCCTGCTGCATGATTCTGCGGAGAAGTTCTGCTGAGTCACGGAAATGAGTCTGTAAGTCATAGCAAGAGCGGACTGATGTGCGGTTTCTATCGTTTGTCTTTCTCACAGCCGGCCCTTTGCATGTTAGCATAAGTGTTAGCACGTTTTCTTACTGCAGTCTTTGAACTTTTAAAAGAGCACTGAAACAGGCTCCCACACTTCCAAAAGTTCCCACACTTCCTCCCCCCCGGGAACCCCCAGGAACCTCCAGTGGACGACCCGCAACCGGCCACGGCCGCCACGGGAGCGCCCACCGCGCCAGCAGCGCCAGACGCTGCGGCGTGGGAGGCGGATTTCTCGGCCTTCGCGCCAGCTGTGCCGGAGGGGGAGGCGCTGTGTTTGTGGGGGGGTTGAAACCAAGACAGCTGGAACCACTGCGGCAACAAGCATAAGCTTTTGTTAGTGGCAACCAGCTTTATTCACCAAAGGAGGAGGACGACGAGAGTTGAAACCAAGAGCGAGTCTGAGGTGCGTTCTTGGATGTGGTTCTTGGATTCTGTAGGCTGCAGGGTTTCAGTTATTTAAGAACAACTTCAGGTTTCATCATTTCGTGGATGGAATCTCCTCAAACCACCCGGTGCTGCTTTCTGCCACCGAGTGTGAATGTTTGCCAGGAGAGGTCCGAGCAGCCGGAGAAACCAGAAGAAGATCCTGGCCGCTGGCTTCAAAGAAGAGAGATGGAGACTTGTTGGGTTCAAAATCGATTGTGAACCCAATAGGCGCCACAATAGGGACTACAATAGGACTCCTCCAAAAGATGGGTTCGGAGTGACATTTGAGCAATCTGAATGGCCAAACCCAAAAAACGACGATTTCGACCTCACTTGCAACGTGGTCCGGAGGCGGATCGAGCCCCTACACAAGGAAAGCGACGTCGCGAGCAACACGTTGCGTTCGCAGATGTCTCGCAGATGAGGAACATTCCCATGCATCTAAATGACTCACCACTCCCCATCATTCATATTTGGTTTGTTTTCCTTTTCGAGCAAAAGCAATGAAATCATCGTCCATGCCGCAGTGGAAGCCAAGGTGAAGAGTCGCAGCCATGAGAAGCCAAAAAAGAGTCACCTTCGCCGAAACCGCGGACGTGGTGCTCATTATAGTATCATCCATGCATTAATTTACCATCACTAACCCAGCCTTTGATGTTTGAGCCCAGTGCAAAGACTACAGGGGCCATCCTCGTAGTCTGTAATATTCGGAAAATCATGCCATATCAGAGATGATTCTTTTCCCCTCCAGCATTCCGTGGTCCAGGGACGACAAGGTCACAGGTCATGTACATTGTTCTTCGTGGTCCTTTTATTTAGAAAGGCACCGAAGTGGTGCTTGCCAAATGGGTGTGTATTATATATCATAGGGAGACGCCCTGCCTCGTCCCGGTCGCTGGGTTGACTGGTCTACATGTTCCGAACCGAACTCCTTGTCGGAACGCCCAGAAGGAGGTCTCCCTAAGGAGGAGCTCCACACCCACGTGGTGCTGAAGTTTGGTGCCTTTGTGCGTGCCAGGCAGAACGCCATTGCTTTGCCCCCACCGCCAACCTCCACCACGAAGGTTGGAGATGGTGTGGAAATGTTGTGCCTTTCAACAATAGCATGGGTCACGCAGATCTTCAACAGCACAACTCAGAGGATTGGTGCTTCAATCATATTAAGTTTGTTTCATGTTGTTTCACATGACAATGGTGTTTGTCCCAAAACAACCATCAAAGTCTTCGGACATGGCATGCACCGACCTGGCCCGGCCTTGTAGGTGCCCGACCGGGCATCACCCGTGCCCACCGAGGCGAGGGAAGCCTGTTCAGCGGTTGGACGCACCACCAGACCTTGTACCGTTTGTAGGAAAGGTTTGGATGATCGTGGAAAGGGTGATGGTTATAGTATGTTGTAGCGTATAATTGTATAACATATAGTACTGACTTCCTAGATCTCTATAGTACCTTCCAACTACGAGAGTTAGCTTGCTGATGAGACCCCAAATGAAGTCATTCCAATCTTTGATATAGAAACCATCAGCAAAACCGCACAGCCAAAGGATTTTCGTGGAACCTCCCAACTCCTCGGTTCGTGGAACCTCCTCCTGTTCGGTTCGTGGACCCGGAACGTCCGAGGGCTGACGAGCATGTGTCCAAAGGGTCCCAGACGTGGTATAGTGTCAAATCCTTTGGAGAAACACAATGGTTCTTCGGTGAAGACTCTTAAATCAATGGCGGGCCAGGAATGTTTGGGTTGATTTTCAGGTGAAGCCTGACCAGGGGTCATGAAAGAGGGTCCTTTTGCCAGATGTGATCACAGAGTCAAAGTTTCGGCCTGATGGCGATAGGACACATGTCGACATTCCTCTCATCGACTGGTCAGTTTGATGACATTCCATGTCAGACATTCGTTGGAATCACCCAGACACTCCATGTATGGCATGTACAAGATACATTGATCCATATTGATCCCCTCACCGTCACACCACCCCCAACTGATCGGCATACAAACATACAGAGTACCAAAAACGTCATATATGGAGTGTCTGGGCTTCTCCCACTCCATTGGGTTTCCACTATAATATATATGGGCCATATGGTTTCTTCCACTTCGCGTCCACGTGGTTTTTCGTCGCCTCGCCGCAGACAGCACACAGGTGCCTTCCTCCCAGCTGCGGGCCTCTCCCGAAGCATCTCCACAGGCGATCGATCGAGCCATCGGCCGAGCGGTTGTTCCCACGAGAGGCTCCGTTTTCGCCACGGGGCTGAGAAGCCCAGAGGCTCCGAACCCAGAGCTTAGCAGGGTTGTTGGAGTTTTGTTTTTTTTGATGTCCAGAGCGAATCCACAGGGGTCAATCATTCAAATCGAATCAGGTGAAGCATCGACATCGAACATCGCGTTGCTTGCTTCGTTTCCCCTACGTCCGCGACCTGACCAAAACCAAAGGTTTCTGCACCTGACATTACCTGACGACCTCCGTAAGAGTCTTGTTTTTGACCAACTCCAGTATTTCATGAGGTCAAACTGATCGGGTTCATGTCTCGTGAGCGATAGGGAGTCACATTTGTCTTCTTCATGTCACGTTCGTTGGCATTTCGTTCAGGCGCCCAGTGTTTCTCCTTCGCACAACGCCAGAGACTCAGAGCGCAGAGCGTCTCTTCTCCCCATGTTTTTTGGCCCCATAGCGCCAGCGCTGTGGTCTTGCACCAAACCACACGACACATAGATGTGATGAGTCGTGTTTTTCTCCAACCTGCTCTTTTTCTATATCTATCTCAGTCATCATATAATAACCACAAGCACATGCCTCACCCTAGCCACTGGCTCTCTAACTCCACCAACGCGCCAACGCTCCCCCCATGTCGCTCTTCACCTCGCTCCTCGCGGTGGTCCTCCTCGCGGGCACCGTCGCGGAAGCGGGAAGCGCCAAGCAGAACGGCACCGCTCTGCGCAAGTCGGTCGTGCAGGTGGCCGCCAACGGCGCGGCCACCGCCACTTGCGGGCCGCTAGATGCGCCGGAGAATGCACAGTGCAAGGAGGTCGTGGAGTGGGCGGCGGGCGGCGGCAAGTGGGACACCAAGGCTGGAAGTTGGTATCGCAACATGCCCAACATCGCGGGGGTGAAGCATGACCAGGCCACCTTGGCGGATTTCCAGCGGCTGTACTACTGCGCACCACCTGGGAAGGACCTAAGAAAGAGATTGTGAAAGCAAATTGTTTAAAGGAGAGAAACATGTGACATAAATACGTGGCAAAAGTCATACGAATCTCATTGATCTGATCGCATGTCCAAGAAATATAGCCTATAGGTGATCAACCTCCCTCGTTTCCCCTCGTTTTCAGCTGTTCCATCCTTGTCTTTCCAGAACCGCAACCCCCCCGCGACCCCTGCAGGACAAGTTCTGCGGTTTGCCGCCCTGCACCGGTTGCAGCGAACCGCCCTGCACCGATTGCTTCGCCGGGCATCAGCTCTACGCGTCCATGCGGCCCGGCTGCGATGGCAACGACCGGAGCATCGGCTGTGTGCCACCCAAGACGGCGATGGGAGACTTGGCGGAAGGGCGGAACAAGAACATGGTTTTTGAACAAATTGTTAACTATATTTATGTTTGTTTTGTTGCTCTTTTTTTTTTTTGTGTGTGTGTGTGTGTGTGTCCACCCCTGGACAAAGGGTCTTCCACCACCACTC